ATTTCAACAGGTGGATAGTCCAATTTTTAGTGGAGATGCTGCCGAAATTTCGGTAGAAAATAAGTAAAATATAGTTAGATAGAGAAAAAAAAATTTAGACATAAAATAAAATTTTTAGAGTGGTCAAGAATTATTTTGTCTAATAGAATTAATTTTGCGTCATTCTTACTTTGCTTAGATCGCCCGGGACCATTGGTTAATGCTCTATAGCTTCAATCTTGTTAGGTAACGATTCGATGGTAAACATAATTTACTATAATCTAGAAATTGTATTTTTCGTGGCAAGATGAAGGAAATTTAGGAAGCTTTAGTTATACGTTCAAGTTGTGAGTTGGGTTACCTAATAGAAGGATTTATGAAATTGTAATTTAATTGAAGCATTGGTTCTTAGTAGCTAGTTTAGAATTTTAGTAAATGTTTAAAGATGTTGTTTATACCTTAAGTGTTTAAAGATGTTGTTTATACCTTAGCAAGGAGATGAAAATAAAAGGTTTAATAAGGAGTTTTTATAATAGTTGAAGCTATATTACTTCTGTTTATATGTTTAAATGTATAAACAATTTCAGTTTATTTGTCATTAGCTAAAAAAAAAAGCTGATTATATTTACGTTAAAGCAAATGAATGTTCAAATAATATTATGGAAACATGTTTGGAGGTTATTATAAAGTTGTGGAAAATTAACTATTGAATGTTGACAATATTTATTTAGGAGGAGGAGGAGGAAATTTAACTGTCTGATCGCCCGACGGATGGGCTGTGTGCATTAGTTATAAATATATTAGAATTGTGATAGTTTGAGCATGGTAGATAGTCCATATTTTTAGGGGAGGTGCTGCCGAAATTTCCTATGACACTTAGACATTGTTTTAATTTAAACAATATAATTAATAAGTTTATTTGATTAAATTTCTATAACCTTGTTTATGATTATTTTAACTATTAATCATTGATTGTTCATTTAATTATTCAATATGTTAATTTATTTCATCATTGTTGTTTTATTGTCAATATTATTTATTTATTTATTTATTTGTTTGTTTGCATTTGAGTATGAATGTCTAATCGTGCAATTACATTTTCGATATGTAGTTGATCAAATTATGTCTGCATTTAATTGCAATGTTTGATTAAACTGTGTTTGTGATAATGCTATGCTTTTGGTTTGTGTGGATGGGATGAAGTGGGTCAGCCAATGGTTTGTGAGACCGTTACCGTTATATGGATATCCATTACCCGTTTACCGGTTAATGGGAGATCGGCGCCCCCGTGTGGCAACGCTACCGTTACCGTTACCGTTAACCACAGGTTGGCTTCTCGTCGTGCGCACCGGACAGTCTAGATTTGATCGCAGCCCGGCAGGGTGGCCTCCTGTTGTGGCGCTTGTATTGATTAGATTGGTGGAGACCACCGGGTTGCCTCCTGTTGGATATGAAAAGAAAAGAGAGGATAGAAAAACCAATGAAAGAGGGCTTGTCAAGTGAGGATTGAAGACCGGTCGGCCAGTATGGGGGATCGGCTCCCCTGGTAGCACATGTGAGAGGATGAGCCATGTGGAGGAGGAACGGCTCATCGGGGTTCGGTGACTCCACTGACTATTTCCACGTGATGTGGAATTATATGAAGATTGTTAATGATTGTGAGTGCTGGTGATTTGGCCATTTGTGTGAGCGGCTGCGTGAAGCATATTAGCTAGTCGGATGACTAGACGATATATTTACACAATTTGTGTGACTGCAGTGTTGTGTGATAATTATTTCTGCTTAGAAAACTCAACAGTTTGCTTGATTTTTTTTCAGGAAGTAAGTTTTCTTTAATCCGATTTAGGCTATTGGTTTTTTTTTTTCTCGGACGCGCAGGGCAGTAGAGAAATTTTTCCTAATCCATAAGTTATTTCACTATGTAAATTATGTGTATAAAAAGCTATGTATACCAAAGAAGTTAGTGGATCGCAGTTGTAGGATTTTACAGTATACTTTAATCGTGAATTAACCATAGACAAAATAATTCTGTAAGCATAAAATTTAAAGGAAAAAAAAATGAGAAAAAAAAGATGTAATTAAAAACTAGGGCCTGGAACTATAGAATGCTGTAGAAGATAAACTTGGGCCGAAAAATAATAGAATATTGAAAAATTCCATACCGAGATAATAGATTCTAGTGGTCTCAGGCTTACTCGGGGCTTCGGGGGCCCTTGTAAGCTCTTACCTGGGCCCTATGTTGGCCGGGTTCCGGCCCGTCCGGCCCATGGAGTCGGGTCGTGACAATATGTACACCATATTATCTATATTCATTATTTTATTTTAATAACTTATTTAATAAAATTAGTTTGTAATTAAATTAATAAAACATATTATTCAAAAGCTTTAAAAAGTATGTATATGCATCATTGTTATCCTATTCATTCAAATTATTTATTCAAACATTGACTTATGACGAAATGGATAAAGAAAACTACTTAGTAAATGTCAATTGGAAATAATATAAGAAATAAATAGTTAGAACATAATTTAATTTAACTAAAAAAATACTAATTAAATAAGTAATGAATAAAAATTGAAATAATATTATATATTTGTTTTCTTTTATTAACTTAATTAGTGAAGTTAACTTTTGACTAAACGGAAAAAAAAAGGCAGTTCAACTCAATAAATGCTATTTTTAAATAATATAAAAAATAATAATCATTCAATCAAAAAATAATTTGAATATTATAGAAAAATTCATTTCAATAATAATAAGTACTCTTTATTTTTTCTCCAGATCTGTACAATTCTGTAAACAAGTCAGTAAAAAAAAATAATAATAAAGTAACGGTAATCATTTTTTATAATTTCTAAAAAAATAATTTCATATATTTAATTTAAAGAAAATAAAATTAAAAAAGTTAAAAAGTATATTACTAAAACCGTATACAAGTATTATTTATATAGTTTGATTGAATTAATATGGTTTGCATTGGATTATTAAATTTAAAAATTATATAATATTTGTTTCAAATTTAAAATATAATCTGAAATATAAATGTGAAAACGTTAATTTAAGTTTTATTTTTAAAATTATTAAAAGAATATATAACTTGGTGAGAAAGAAAGAAGGACCGAAAGATAAAACCTGAAAGAGAGCCACCGAAGCCTATATATAAGTATAACTGCTCAATCAGTGTAAAAGTTTAGTATCTTAATAGCGACTAAGAAAGATTACAAGTGAGATAGCGTAAAGATTGATTAAGGGAGTGAGAGAGAACAATGGCGGCAAGGTCATTGATTCTTCCATCAGGGTTAGCGGAGGCGACAGAGCTTCCATGTGGGTATCGCTTCGATCCCACAGATGAAGAACTTGTTTTCTATTATCTTAAATCAAAGCTGGAGAAGACGCTGATACTTGATGTGGTGAAGACGCTTGATGGTGATCCAAACACCCTTTATGATGATGATCCCTGGAATATCTTTCACAGCCAGTTAACTGGATTCTTCTACGTTTTCACCAAATTGAAGGGAATGGCCGATAAGAGAAGAGATAGAAGAACGCCCTAGGGAATGGCCGATAAGAGAAGAGATAGAAGAACGCCCTCAGGAACTTGGAGAAACCAAAACAGAAAGCCAATTCTTGATTCTGAAGGTAACATTTTGTATGTGAAAAAACAATTTAGATTTGAAGAAACAGGCAAGAAAAACCGAAGCGGCCTTTGGTTAATGACCGAGTTCTCATCCAAATATGAAGGGGTGGGTAAATGTTTTCATTTATAACTCTAATTTTAGGGTTTCGTTTTCTTTTTGTTTATAATTATTTTAGCCCTGATTTCTAAAAGTTTGTAATGTCAGTTTGATGGAAATACTAATTTTAGTTCATTGATTTTGCAGCGTAAGGGAGAGTATGTTCTTTGTAGAATCTATAACAAAGATGCACTTGGAAAGAAGAGAGAATATTCTGTTGAGAAAGAAGAAGGAAACGGAAAATCAAAGAAGATGCGACAGGACAATCTTGGCTATACCTACTGGGAGGATGAGAATTTTGGAGATCCTAATCCTAGCTTAGAGAGACAGGACAATATTGTTTCTGCCTACTGTGAGAATGAAAATTTTGGAGATCCTAACCCTAGCTTAGAGAGAACTCCAGAATATGAAGATAATGGTGATTCACTGTTTTGGGATGATATTTTATTCTATGATCAGTGTCCTTGAATTTTGAAGCTGAGAGCTATCCAATACTTCTCCAACTCCAAAACTTGAGAATGTGGGACAATCTCTTTTTAACTTCAAACTGTAAATGTAATTCTCTTTCAAAAAAAAAAAAAAAAAAAAAAAAAAAAAAAAACAAAATGTATAATTGAGTTTGAACTCCAGCTTGTTTTATATATATACACATGGTGGTTCCTGATTTTATGTCTATCTTCAGAATCTTAAACTTGAAATGTGGTTCCAATATTTCTTGTCTGTATTAATTCATTGCATTAATTAATCATCTAGCTTGCTATTTAATATTTTATTCCTGCAAAAGATTTATCTATTTCTCCTTCTTCCATGAACAATTAATGAAAGTGGAAAAAATGTAATATGAAGAGGAAGGGGGAAATTGTTAGAGATAAGGTTTCTAGATCTGCTAAAATTATTCCTTTTGATATTCTAATACTAGTATAAAACTATAAAGTTCACAACTTCTGACTCGTGTATAGACAAACTCACTGAGTACAAAAAAAAAAAAAAAAGGGTGAGTACATAAAAAAAAAAAAAAGGGTTCAAGTACTTCAGGTTAGCAGGTGACCCACATTATCTTCAACAGAAAGCATAAAGTAACCCTATAAAACCTCACCTGTCTTGTTTCAGTTTTACTCTCACATGAGCCAGAAACAAAGACCCTGGCGAAGGAAGAAAACAAGAGCAATGTCGCTACATCATTCTTTTCTCTTTCCTGGCAAAAAAAAAAAAAAAAAAGGGTTCAGTACTTCAGTTACAGGGACCCACATTATCTTCAACAGAAGCATAAATAACCCTATAAACCCTCCACCTGTCTGTTTCAGTTTTCTCTCCATGAGCCAGAAACAAAGACCGGCAAGGAGAAAACAAAACAATGTCTACAACATCCTTTTCTCTTCTGCAATTTCCAAAAACTTTTGTAATCCCATCTTCTGCAAAATACAAGTTCTTGCAAATTCCTTCAATTTCTCATAATCACCGATCCATAACATCAAAAATACCATTTTCAAATCAATACTTTGTAAGAACTGGGTTTCAATTGCAGGCTCAAAGGCAGCAACAAGAATATCAAGTTGAGAGGCTGTTTTCTAACCTTAATCAAGCCACATTGAAAAGAGAGCCTGGTAGATACCCAATTTTCTTAATTTTATTAATGTATTGATGTTTATTGCTTAGTTAATTGCAAAATCCCACCAATTAATCCTGTTCTTGTTTAATTTCTCTCTTGTTAGGAAGTTTATCTAGTTCAATTCTTCTAGTTGCGGGTACAACGGTATGCATTTAATTTTAATTTCATTTGCACACAATGAAACACAAAAAAATATAACTAATTTTATTAGTTAAAAGTAATTAATTTTATTTGAATTTCTTTCTGCAATGAAATATAATTAATTTTATTGATTGAATCTCTTAGGTAGGTGCTGGGATTCTTGCAATTCCTGCTGTTACTCAAGAATCTGGATTTCTGGCCTCTGCTGTTGCCTGCATCGTTTGTTGGATATTTATGGTAATAAAGGCAACCTTATCCAACTCATGTTAATTCTTGACCAGTTCATAAGATTACTAAAGTAGGGTTTAAGAGCCCATCGACACTACCCATTATAGGCCACCTATAGCGGTTGACCGGTTGCACTAGAAGGGTAAAAGCACTTCAATGCACCACAAGAGTGCTCCAGGCTCCAGGTCTCTTAATTATGGAAGCAATTTATGTGTTGAAGCTGGATCATTGTCTGGGGAGAGGGTTAGGGAGCAACTAATTGGGTTAAATATTAAACCAGGGGTAAAAAAGAAAAAAGAAAGAAAGAAGCCCATTATATGGGAATAACTGTGCAGAATGTGAAGTGAGAAGTCATGACCTCAATTTGACATCAAAATACTAGTCTCATTGTAAACTGCTCTTATCATGTCAATTCTTTGAATTCGCTGCAGCTCTTCTTATATTTTACATTTTCTTAATATTATAATGAGTTTGTCTTTTAAACTATTTTGCAGGTTGCAACTGGACTTCTCATCGCAGAAGTAAATGTCAACACAATGTGTGAATTGGGTTCTGGTGGTGTATCATTGGTAATTATGGTTTTGAAATATGAATTACATGTGGTTATCAGTGGTATTATGAAGTTTCTACAATAATTGTGCGTTTAACAATGGGATTCAAATTATTTTCTGTTTTTAGATAATTGCTCTCTTCAAATTAGACCTTGTTGATTTTTAAAAAATCTTGATAGAATTACTGCTTATATTTCTTTTGTGCTGAATGAGGTGTGAATGATGTGAAAACTTAAACCATATTTAGGTGTTATTCATTATCGTAATGATATCAATATATATAGCACTGCTCCTAAAATTCTGTCATTGAAGGTGCACACACAAGAGTTAACATAGAATTCTGATATACATCGTATCATATTTTGTATTTCTTTTACTAGAAAACTTACTGCTAATCATCAAATGGTTGTTGATTATCGAGGTGCATCCTGACATAGAATTGTCTTCTAATAAAGAAATTTAAAAGTGTTTAAGTTGTATCTTGTTTTTGCTGGTATATTACATTGTTGTTCATATTCCCTTTTCCTGGTGACTGATGTCAGGTGTCAATGGCCAGGAGAACTCTTGGGATAGCTGGAGTTCAAATTGCTTGGTAGGTTGATAAATTTGCAAGCCATATTATGATTTTATGCCTTCCAATGTGGAAATAAATGTATTAATTAAAAGAAATTTTGGAAGAAGAAATAGTTTGTTTTGTTTTAATGGGTTAACATGTTAGATTTAGATGCTTTGATACCACTTGTTAGCTCCAGATGCTCTAATACCACTTGTTAGAAAATAGATAGAAATTGTGATGCTGCTAACATTAGATAGAAACTGTGATATCATTGTTGTAGAACAGAAATGAACTTAATTCTTGAAGAAACAATTGAAAGAAGGAAAACATAAAAACTTAAACTTATATATTAAACTTTAGCTTTCCTTTGTATAAAGGGTCACACTTTACAACTAGACAATCACACCTTTATATAATAAGACATAAGAAACCCAAAGTTAACAATAAATTCTAACGTTTCATCTACTTAAATAGATAACCTAAAAAAAAAAGCTCAAACACTTAATACTTAAAAGCTCTGAATTTAATGAACTATTTAATTCACTTTAATATTTCAATTTATTATTCTAACAACATGTTCTGCAAGTAATTGATTCAGTTGGTAATTATACTGCTAAATCCTACACATCGAAACCGCTGTCCTGATGAAAATGGCAGACTCAAGAGTTCAAATTGATTTTGAATTATAATGTTTATATAACAGTCGACAATTGTCTTCTTCTTAAAGGTTTGAGTGTTATATGCTGAAACGGCTCCATCCAGTTATTAGTTTTTGTACCATGCAACTGCTTGATGGTTTGAACTGTTGGTGACGTTGTTGATCAACCTTCTGAAAGCTAGTTTCATTACCCCAAAATTTTCAAGCCACAGTGCAAGAAAGGACGCATTCTGTAATTCCTAATCCTAAATAGTAAAATGTTTAGGAATATAAATAATTTGTAGAAATCAAATTCCAAGTCTGTCCTAATATTGGTTGAAATGGTTTTCAGAATTCTTTTTGCATGTCATAGTTGCTTTTAGTGTTAATATTAGTGCAGCAAATGTAGTTTCTACTTGACTGGCCATAAATGATGAGAAAAAAAAAAAAAAAAAGCTGGAAATTTTCTTCATATAAGATGCTTCTGGGGGACATACAACATATATCTACATCTCTATGAAGTTCACTTGAAATATTTTTATCTTGTGAGACAATTTCCTTAGTTCACTGGAAATATGGCAGTCATTTATTATGTACTTGTCTTGCAGTTGGTCATACATTTTTATCCACTACGCCCTTCTAGTTGCTTATGTGGCTCGTTCTTCAGATATTTTGACAAACTTCCTCGGCATTCCATTGTAAGAACCTTAATTCTAGTATTTCCATCTTCCTAAAGTGTTGGTCCAGATTTTTGCCTCTGAATCTGTATCTTTCTCAGCAGCACTTATGGATTTTGTTTTCAGGAAAAGTTTGTACATCTATTAGATGTTGATCTGCTGCAAATTTTTTGCAGATGGGAGAGTGCAACTTTGTTCTCTTTGGTTTTAGGAGGCATATGCTACTTTGGAAGGTTAGTGCTGTTTTCTTAAGTAGGTGTTAACTGTTGTTTTAGTGGTGTTGAGTAAATATATTTTATGAGGGCTGTGAAATTAGGAATTGTCCCTGAAACAGTACCTTTTACATTTCAAAGTTCTATCAATTATCAATGTGCTTGAGGCTAATGCTAGGATAGCGAGATAATTGTTCAAATCTGATGAAATGTAACAATACTGCATTTTTTCAAACTTGTCTAGATAACGAGGTGGTTACCTCTTGTTGGGATGTATTTTTATGAATGTTTGTTCTTTCTGTGTTAGATATCTGTTCTATTTGCCCCTTTATCCTTATTCATTTATAGAATTGGTAAACACTAAATCCAAGATCCTTCCCATTCATTAATGCCATTATGTTGGTGGCCAAAGTCTTATATCTAGAGAATGTGAAGAAATAGTGAAATAGATAAGAGGGGAATAGATATATGATTGTGGGACCTACAGTCCAAGGGCTTAAGTGTTGTGTTAAGGTGGTACCTGACAGATGTATGAAACAGGTTATCTAGTGCAAAAGAACTAGTCACAAGAAAATGATTTTGACATTTAGCACTATTTTGTGAAATTTCTCTTGGAGTTTCATTATCTTTTATTGAAAGCTCAAAAGTAATACTTGCTATAAAATTCTCACTTTTACTTCTTACCATTTTTCCACGTGTGGGAAAAAGATTTGTGGTTAATGTTGCTGGTATTATTATTTTGTATCAGAAACATAAACAAAGTTAAATAAATTTTCTTTGTCTGAAATCATTTTTGATTGCATTTTTATTGTTAAGTTTATGGTGTATAAAGATATCATGAATCATATTTTAATCTCCTATGGTATAGATATACTACAAGCGAGAGACTCTCTTAGTGAATGTATTGAGACAGAGGGAGCCTCCAATTAATTGTGTTACTTTGTTACTTGGTAAAATAGGTAATATTTCTGATTTCATGATTTTCATTGTGTGTGCAATCTAATTAAAGCCTCTGTATTGTCAACAACTGTCAAGTACCAGTCACATGCTAGACTATAGTAATCTTTTAAATGCATGTTTTATTTTGAATCTTGTAGGTTTCGCAGAGTATACTTAGGTAAATTTTACTGGTGATCTTTCAGTTTTTCAGTTTCTGCACTACACATTTTTTTTTTTTTTTTGACATGCTAGACTATATAATCTTTAAATGCTGTTTTAATTTTGAATCTGTAAGTGTTTCGCAGAGTATTACTTTAGGTAAATTTTACTGGTGATCTTCAGTTTTTGCAGTGAATGACTAGCCACTCACTAGGAGAGTGTCTAGTTGTGTGTACACATTTTTTTTTTTTTTTGGTGTTTCTAGTTTTCTAGTTTCTCTAATTGATTGAATGGAGCAAAATTGACTTGACACTTGTCTCAATTTGCAGTCAGCGCTTCATTGGTGCTGTTAATGGTGTTCTAATATTTGGAATCATTGGTTCTTTCACTGCTCTTGTGGTAATATTCTCCCTTGAAAAATATTCTAGTTTTTCGATTTAAATGACCAGTTAGCATATATCCTTACTGTATCCCTTAAAGGTTCTCAGATTGAATACATTTGTAACAAATTAGAGCATATAAGTTTGGAGCATATGGCATGTACACTCTAACTTGAGGGGCAGTGTTAAGAGTATTGTGATTGCAGTGTGCGAATTTTGTATGATTGTGGCTGAAATTAGGGGATTTATTGAAAGCAAGGGGAAAGCTGCATACATCAACTCTCCCCAGAGCCTATACATGTAGGATGCTTCGTGCATGGGGTCACCCTTTTGTTTGTTGGCAGAATTAGAGGATTGATTCTAAAATAATATTTTGGTGTATCATTGAAATTTTGTATACCCCAGTTGCTCGAGGAATAATCGAGCTTTTCTCTGTCACAAATATCTTCCCTTCTCTTATTTCAGGATTGATTATATGACAATTTCATCACTGTACTGTAGGCCTTTTTGGAAATATATTGATAAGGTAGCTTGATACCCAAACTGTATCAATAACTGTGACCCTCATTGTACATAATCTATTTTAGGATCTACCAGAGAACTAGCTCCTGCATGCTGACTTAACTTAATTAAATATCCCTGGTTAGAGGGTATATGGTTTTCCTAAAAATCTTGCTTATAGGGTTGCCGCTACTGCTACAATGCTTGAAATTTACTTGCTCTCAAAACTGGTTATACATGTTTTGTGGACTCATAGGCTTGCTATCCTCTTCTCAACACCAGCACTAGAGAGTAAGAGCCTTGCTAGCTCGAATTTCTCCCTAACCCTTTCTTTCTTTGCTTGCTCTATCCTACCCCCATAGTTAGCTGGTTAGTTAGTTGCCTCCTACAGTGCTTATAGGATACAGACTGACTCTCTCCTTACTCTATCCTGAAGGTAAAAAAGCAACATAAGATGCTTTTCCTCCCGTAGAATACCTTGCATCAGATTGCAATGAAATAAGGTCAACGGAGCATGGCGAAGGGGAGATTGGTCATTTAATCTTTTCGGCAAATGATTCACTGGACCAGTTGACATGGACTACCATCTCTTCCACTTAAATTGACTAATCAAACATGTGGGTTCACAAAAGTGATTTTTTGTTCTTTTATGGGTGTATTTCTGTTGGCTTAAATTATATGAGTGACTTACCATGTCATTATGTCAAGATCTTCAATGGATAGATGTGATCAAATTGGAAAAGAAAAATTTAAATTTTAATGATTGATGGATCAAATTAATGTATTCTGCAAATTAGAAACAATCTCAAAGTTTATAACCTCTACTATCATATACCCCATTAAACTTCCTTCCAGTGGCTGTCAAAACCATTCTACCATAACAAATTTGGTATCACCATTTAGAAGGAAAACTTATGAGCAGGTCAATCTTTAATAAGTTCTCTATTTATTTGTCAAGATATGTCTGCTGATGCCGAGACTAATCGACAGTGCAGGGCTTGTATTTGATCAAGAGTGTTGGCGCAAGCATCATTTTTCCACGCCGTTTCTCAATAAAGACTTAAAAAAGAAACTGGAAGGAAGAAATCGCATTGAAGAAACTGAATAAAAATGCTTTTACGTTTCTAATTGCATATTGAGATTAGTATTTTTATGGAATGATAAATATCAATATGATACTTTGGTGGCAAATAAGCTCCTTTATATTTTACATTGAAGAGATATCAAATTTTTTTTGTTAGGCAGTTGCCAGTGGAGGGCTACAATTAGATGCTCTTTTGAAAGCCAACTTTGAAGCTGTTCCTATGAGTATACCTATAATTGCACTTTCATTTGTTTATCAGGTAACATCGCAAACTTGTAGTAGTAGTTAAACATGGAAGTAGTTGTGACATCCTATATCTGCTTTGTTCAGAATGTAGTACCCGTTCTTTGCACAAATCTTGAAGGAAACATTTCAAAAGTAAGGTGATAAATCTTATTATAACACTTCTGCTTGATATTAAGCTAACACAGTGTAGGTGTAACATTTATTATTGATCTTATGCATACTTCACAGTATTGCTTTAAAAGCTCTTACATTCCTTTCATGACCATGCTCAATATTGATTGCAAAGCATTTAAAAGATAACTTTCATGCTAATGGTGTAAATTATCATACTGATAAAGTTAGCCTAGCAATTGAATTAAGTAAGGATAGATGGAAAAAAGGCAGTCATCTTAAATAGAAGACTGGTTAAAGTATCGTTCGCTTATTTATCCTCTCTCGCTCTTAAATACCCTGACTTTTGGATTTGGTTTTATTGGTCTTATGACATTAATATATCCAATCCATGAATGGATAATTTGTGCATTTCATAATGGGAATTTTAACTTTGATTTTAAACTTATAATTTTCTCACTCATATGTCATTCCTTATCAGTGTTTTTTGTTACTGTTACTTTTTTTTTTTGGCTGGAAATTGTACTCGTTATATTTGTCATCATCTTGTATGTTTTCAGGACTGCCATTGTTGTAGGCACAGCTATACCCCTTGGTTTGTTTCTTGTATGGAATGGAGTTATTTTAGGATCAATTCCAAATACTGAGATGGCTGATAAGATCACTGATCCACTACAACAATTGCGATCTACTAATGAAGTTGTTGGAGTAAGTTTCTTATCATAAACTATTAAATCTCTGAAGTTCAATTACTGGATGAAATATAAATGAAATGGGAAAATCAAAATAATGGCTTGTTTTGTTCTTCTTTTTTTATTCTTCAGCCTATAGTTGAGGTGTTCTCGCTACTTGCAATTGCAACCTCTTATATCGGATTTGTTTTGGGGCTTGCTGACTTCCTTGCTGATTGTGAGTGGTTAACATTATTCCCATATGCTTTTTCAAAAATTTTGATTACAGACATGACGATATTTCATCTTTTTCCTACGTTTTGTTGCAATGAAACTTGATGAGCAATAAAATATTTATAACAATAATCTGAATATGAATCTCCCATTTACTAGTTTCTCAAACTTTAACATTGAGGCCTGAGATAGCAGTATATGTTGCAAATTTGCTGGAAAGAGCCAAAACAACAGTTTATTACATTCAGGTTACAAGTAGGAAGCTGTAATAGATATAATTGAATGTAACTGAAGCATTTTTAGAGTAATCTTGCCAATTGCAGTCTTAATATTTTTCATAATTTGGGAGCAAGTGGAGATCCGCAAAAGGTTTGTTAATGCAACATTGTTTCATTTTGCAACCAGAACATTATCGTTGGACTCAAACAACTCTTATTTTGAGAAATTGACTCGCATATGATCTACTACTTAGGGTCATTTTCACATACAAATGACTCTGCTAAATTTCTTTTGAAAGCGTAAGCATCTAGAGAACAGGTGATAACATATTGTATTTGCATCAGCATTGAATTACAAGACCATAGTTGCAAGTGTTCAAGATCTTCAAGCCATTTCATCAAGGGAAAAAATCGAAAAAGATCTCACCATTTGAACATTTAAGACAAATTGTAAAAGGACAGTTTGAATATATGATTATATTTTCAATTCATTCCCCTTTTACAGTAAGCTTTTTCTGTTGGTATCAGTATTATCATGAACGAAATGGCCACAAGGAAAAAGATATATTAGTAGTACTGCTTTCATTAAGAAGATAATTGTTCTTACTTTTTTCTTTTCTTTTTTGAAATATTCAGTGCTAAAACTCCCAGCTAATAAGAACAGCCCTCTGACATACCTCTTGACTTTGCTTCCACCTTTGGCATTAGCACTGCTAGATCCTGAAATATTTTTTAAAGCCTTGGATTTTGCAGGAACATATGGAGGTATGCAAGTAAAGTTCTTTCCTTTTTTTACAAGATCCTGAAAATTGAATTTGGATAGTGTATGATGGTTGATAGAAGTTTTATAATGTTATGTTTAAATTCTTGAGTTTAACTTGAAATTTAGGATTGTAAAGTGTAGAATTTATGAAATCACAGGCTTTAAAGTTACTTGAAATCCAGTATATTTAAGCCTTCAAAAATTTGTGGTTTTCGGTCAAATCCAAATTCATAAATATTTGACAAATCCAAAAATCCAAAAACAACATAAACTTATTTGAAGCCACATTTCTTGGTTGTCTACTGTTTGATGTTACCTTTTTGTATTTTTCCTTTTCCGGTTTGTTAGTTTTGGTACTTTTTGGAATTCTTCCTGCGGCCATGGCCTGGTCAGATAGGTACTCAAGTCCATCACCTTCAACAAAATTGCCACAGCTGGTTCCTGGGGGAAGAATCACTCTTTCTTGCGTGATCGGAGGAGCAGGATATGTGATCCTTTCTGAAATACTAGAGAATTTTAGCCGTTCTTGATTATCAAGAATGAAAATGATTTCTTATGAGGTCTAAATCAAGAACCGGAAAGGCATTCCTATACGAGTCAAAAGTACATTGTTACATCTGGATTGATAGTTATAATAGCTATTTTCATTTACAATTCTCTTCATTGTTGCCAACTTTTCTTGGCTCTTGCATATTGTACTATATTACATTATTCTGGAATTGAACATGTTATTACAGTAAAAGAAATAGACGACAAAGATGGATGTCGTTTTCATTTGTTGGCGTTTACATATGATAAATTCATAGTTGTATACAAGGTTTCATGGTACTCCAACTGATAAAAACTTTTGTTTTTCTTATTAAATATGAAAATAACGTATATAATTTGAGAAACCAAACAAGGACAGACACTTTGGTATTCACAAATATGCAACAAATGTTCAATAACACCAAAGAATCGTATAAGAAATGTTAGTGGCAGAATTGGCCATTGAAAAGACTAGCATATATATTTTTTTAAAATTATAAAAATGAAATTAATCTAAAAAGTGAAATCGGATATTTTTAATCATTTTGTACAAGTTTAGATGGGCATAATAAAAAATTTATATGAATAAGATGGTCCTTTAACTATAATAATTGCTATTTTTTTAATCTGATCTGTGTGAAGATAGAAAGTGGATTATATTTTTGAGAGGGAGGGAGTAAAAATTGCAAAATGTCAAAAATTGCCCCTTAAGGATCCAAGTAATGATTCTCCGAAGACAACATTGTTTCTGTCACAAATTCCAAATCTATTTTTGTATTACATTACATATGCAGGTTTAAGATACTCTTTTCTCTTTGGAATGAACAAATTAATTTAATGGCCAGCTAAATTTTCTTTTTATAGAACTCATCATCTTCTATATAAAAACTAGAACTAAAAATCCTCTTTGGATATCCGAATATACCCGCTTGAATCAACTTCTCTGCTGGATTCACCACCACCACTGCATCTCTTTTTCTTGAGAAATTAGTTCTTTAACTGTTAAAATTACTGATAAAACAAGAAAGTTTCTTACTAATGTAATTTTTTTGTATTTAATTTAGCTTAAACAGTAATTAAGAGCTTCTACCAGAAATTAATGGATGCACAAAGGGTGGTGGTGATCCAAGATGCATCAAGAGAAGTTAGTTCAAGTGCAGTGAGGTGGGCTTTACAGGGCTTATCACTTAAGCCTGGTGATATGCTTACCCTACTTTCTGTTCTTCATCAGGTTTATACCCCTAGTAAGTCACTTTATGCAGGAAGCAAGAAGCTATGTAAGCATTTAAATTATTTGTTATTTATGCACTAAAAGCAACAAAAAGAAAATAATTAGCAGAATTATATATTTCTTTTGATCATTTTTAATTTTTTTCGATGTTCATTTTAGTGGGATATAAAAGTAGAATTGATTCCAATTCCATGTTTGATGTAAATGAGAAAATTATTGAGAGAGAAGTGGCAAAGAAGAAAGAAGAGTATGCAAAGAACGCACAGCTTGTTCAGATTTCTGAACTTTATGAGAAAGAGAAGGTATGTATAATTCATTTATTTATAAGTTCAAAAAAATTAAATTGTTCTTACATGCATGAAATCGCAGGTTAAATTTTCAGTGCAGATAGCAACAGGACCTTCGCCAAAAGTGGTAGCTTTAAAAGCAGCTATAAGTTTAGAGCCAACGTGGGTCATACTTGACAGGTCAGGCCAAAATTCTACCTAAATAGAATTCCTGTAATACAGTTATGTCTACTTCCTGCAAGATTCAGAAAAATAAAAGAGAGAACATAAAATTATAGTAGCAATTTCGTCTGTATAGGCAGATGAAGAAGAACAGGAAGTACTTCTTGGAGAAGCTTTCATGTGGAATATCAAGAATGAAAAAGAACAATATTGTTGAGCAATTGAGAGGACCAAGAACAGACAGAACAAATGTATCTTCTACAGAGCAAGATCGTAGCTGTCAAGTAACTTATGACGATATGCTGCCAGGATCACCTGATGACCTTTTCAGCATTGAAATGCGTCCAAGTAAGGAACCATCTCAATCTTCCTTTACATAAATAGATGATAAATATTTTATGCTATTGCGCCCAAATCAATCGAGATTTGTTTCAATGGTGTGCAACAGGAGTAGACAAAGAGAACCTACCTGCTCAAGAAATAACAAAGCAGAGCAGTAACACTGAGGAAGCAAGGGAAGAGTGGCAACTCGAAGATATTCTTCAACATTCAATATGTAGCCTTTGTAAAAATACAAGACCAAATAGGATATGGCAAAGGAACTTCACATATACAGAACTCCATACAGCTACAGATGGTTTTTCGCCACGAAACTATCTATCTGAAGGTGGAAAGGGATACATCTTCAGAGGTCAACTAAAATGTAATAATCTAAAAATAATTGTTAAACAACATCAAAATATAATCCCTGAAGGAGAGATGGATCTCCAATCAAAAGTAAATATTCTCAAGAAAGCTAGACATAAAAATGTGTTGATGCTTTTAGGGTCTTGTACAGAAGAAAGTCTAAAGCTGCTTGTATATGAGTATGCCTGTAATGGTTCAGTGAATCAACACCTATCAAGTAAGTAACATATACAAGTGGTATATTTTACAAGAACAATATTAAGCTATCTTTTATCAATCTGACATTTAAGAGGTTTAACATTAGGTAAAATCTATGGCATTATGCAGAGCATTGCCCCTTGCCATTGACATGGACAGAGAGAATGAAAGTAGCATTGGGTACTGCTAGAGGTTTAAACTATTTACATGAAAACGACATAGTTCACAAGAATCTCAGAACAAGTAACATTGTTCTAACACATGACTTTGAACCACTGGTAATTAATGACATATATAAGCCTACATATTAAACAATTGTTTTGATAATTTTACACATAAAAAAGAAAACTGATTTTCTTTTCTTTATTGACAGTTAGGAGATTTCGGTTTTTCTGCAGAGCATGATGAGGTTCTTGAAACTTTGGGACATATACCTCCAGAATATTCAGGAAACTGGAAACTTTCTACTGCCCTTGATGTTTATGCCTTTGGTGTTATTCTGCTAGAGCTGATTACTGGCCGGATGGTTACGGACAAGATTCGTGGTGGAAAAGGTCTTGTGGGATGGGTAAACAGAATCTAATTTTTGAAATTGAACTCTTAAGCGAAGTTAGTAGAGGGAGGACGACTCTTATTTTCTAATCTGCATTATTGTAACACAGGCAAGACCACTTCTGAAAGAAAGAAAGCTCCTTGAGATAGTTGATCCTAGAATTGGCAACTCCTATGATGCAGAGCAACTCTACTGGATGGGTCGAATTATACATAATTGTCTTAACAAAGTTCCAAATAAAAGATTAACTATGGACAAGGTAATGAATTTCTTACAGTACTTTGCCTCAATGAAACAACATCGTATATCATTAAAATTCTTCTGTTTCCACCATTCTAGGTGGTCTGTGCACTGGAATGCGTCGCAGATAGGCGAGCTCAAGATCTAATGGAAGATGTTTCTGCAGTGAGATCATATCTAGTTCGCAGATCGTCTAACATGAATGGACAAAGAAGCTGTAAGAAACCGTTTGAACAGGAAAGCTTTAGAGGATTACACGTAGAAAACCAAGTAAGCAGATCTTTTTCTCTTTCTTTTTCAACAAGAACAAGCACAAGTTTCAGCAGGAGCTCTGTAAGTAGTGGAACGAGTGACAAATTGCAAAGAGAAAAAGCAGGAAGAATTTCAGTGTATTATGCAGAAATGCACAGCTAATTTAAGTTTTTAGTTCCTAATTATTTTCAGATGTGATTTTTTGTTTGCATGTAGAAAATTAGATGTTAAAAACATTTCCATGTACTAACATAAACATTTTCCTCGAAAGAGCTGGTAGTTATAATACCTATGCTTAACGGTTTCTGAAAATATATCTGTTATGGTATATACTAAACATCTCATGTAATTGAAGTTTCTACATCTTGTATATCATTTGTATACCAAAGGAAGAAAATGAATATTATATCATGCTTCGAGAGAAGTATTCATGAGGAACTACAGAATTGCTGGCAGATAGATTAGGGTTACCATACTGTAGATTATGATTACCGTTAGATTAGGGTTACCATATATATTAACAATTCAATTGAATATTAACAATGCTTTCTTACATGGTTTTTTTAGATGAAGAGGTTTAATATGCAACCCCTGCAGGTTGCTCTATTTCTCAACCAAACCAAGTTTGTTTGCTTAAAAGGTCACTTTATGGTTTTAAACAAGCATCTAGATAATGGAATGTTGAATGTTGAGTTACAAATTTCACTCTTAAATTGGGTTCCATTCAATTTATTCAAGATCACTATTTGTTCACTAATGTTCCATTTGTTTCCGTAAAATAATTGCAGGAAAATAACTTGCTGAACGATATTTTCCATGAAAACATTTTCCTTGAAAAATATTTCTTAAATGACTTATTTTTTATTGTTTGGTTGTAATATTAAAAATTAGTTTAAAATATTAAAGTCTTTATCTTATAAGACCAGAAAAAATATTAATAATAATAGAAATTTTATAATTTAAAAATTTTATTGTTAAATATGAGAAGAATGCAACTTAAATGCTTATTTTTTATTGTTTGGTTGTAATAATTAAAAATTAGTTTTACACAAATATTAAAGTTTTATCTTATAAACCAGAAAAAGTATTAATAATAATAGAAATTTGTATAATTTAAAAATTTTATTTTAATATGAGAAGAAATGCAAAAAAAAAAAAAAGGGTAAAAATTATAATCGTCGGTGGCCAGTGGTGGTGGTCCTCAATGTAAATGGTGAATTATGGTAATTGGCTATAATGAATATATAAATTAAAAAAAAATAAATTTATAAGGGTTTTGGTCAATATCTGGAATAATGATAAAATGTTTTACTCTCTCGAAAATGAGAAGTTATTTTCCTTAAAAAATGACTTAATTTTCCTTTGACTAGAAAAATATTTTCCTTTGACTTATTTTCTTGAATGCTCCAAACAATGAAAAATTGTGGAAAATATTTTTACTACAAGTTATTTTATAGAAACAGACAGAGCCGAAAAGTATTGATAAGGAGTTTGCTTTTGCTTGTATATGTGGATGTGTTATCATTACCCGTAACAAGTTGAATGCCATTAATGTTGTGAAGAAAGCTTTAGATTCTTAGTTATCTATCAAGGATTTGGGTTTTGCCAAATATTTTCAGTGCATTGAGATAGCTAGATCTACTACTTGCACTATTCTTTCTTAGAGAAAATTCATATTAGATTTGGCCAAAGAAGTAGGTTTGCGAGATGCTAAATCTTCTCTTGTTTCTTTATCTAAAGGTTTCTGAAAGAGTCTCTACTGTGACACTGTTGCCGTCACATTAGCTTATATTTTGATTAGCTTTTTTTGTTATTATCAAATTTGCATTTTGACTGAAAAAATCTAGAGTTTCCTAAGTGAATGGTGTAGCATGCTTTTTAAGCATTAACTTAGGGAGACATGTCACACCTTACCTTACTGTAAGACATGGCATGTCGCCCGCAATATACTTAATAAACACTTAAGTCTTATAAATGCTTACTAAGTATACTATAATATAAGGGACTTAATAACTGTTTGATTCATTCATTTATAATCTTGTAGAAAAGTAGATTTAGATTATTTAAATGTAAACTCCTTTTGGTTCTTTCATCTGTTATATGAGAATAATGTCTATGTTTTTTTTTCCGTAATTACTAACAGTATGAAACATAGACTCATTACGCTCAATATGATTTTCTTAAGACATCAATTTATTAGCAAAAAGCATAAGAATGTTCCATAAACCACGATAAGCCCATGATTGTTTTTTAAATTACATAGTTTTTTTTTTTCTGAATCCTTTGTCAAACCTTTAAGATACAGTAATAGAAAGTTCCATACAAGTCATAATTTACAGTGTATCTGCTCAAAATAATAATAGATGTTCTGTTAATGTTTAAATAGCATATATACATATTTCCACAAGAAGCAGAATATACAATAGCATTACATCAGTAAGATCTATCACCTTATAAAAAAACGATATTCTCCTAAGTTTCTTCTTTTCCTTGCTTTTCCTGCGATAGCACAAAAGCAATATGCGCTAAGCATTTTGCTTAGTAGTGTGACTGATTATAAAAAAGATAAACACAAATCTATTCAAATAAACTCTTTATGATGCAAGTAATTGAATATGGAAGTCATAAACCCACATGTTAAGGGAAATAAAAAACAAAACAAATACCATTTAAGATCATAAATTCATAATGAGTCTTAACAGCTTTAAATAGAATCAATTCCGAGGGCCATCAGTGTCTAATGTGCACATCTAGACCTGCTATCTACAACCTCAATCTGTAATATGATTTCAACAAAAGAGGGAGCAATCTACAACCTCAACATGGAGGGAGAATTTCATATCAATCATATATCATATAGTGATGATATCCATGTTCAATCGATCGTAATATCAACTTCAACAAATGAAGTGATATTCGGAGTAATAACCATGTCTATATCAGCTGTAAGACTTTTAAATCATTCCATTCATGTAATAATATTAAAATCACTGTGGGCAACATTTCCTTTCGCAAACACTACTAAAACCATTCAGTCACGGCCACCCCTCATACTACAGGAATCAATTGGCCAACATCCTCCTCTTTCAAGGTATAAGAATCATAAAATTCATTTACATATGGCATTAGGTCGTATGCTTTCAAAATAAGCTTTGTTCTTTGTCTCTTGAAGAACTTATGACATCATTAATACTTTTTAGTAATTATGATTCAATAAGTAAAATCCATGTGAAAATTTTTGGCAACAATCAATATCATTTGTTTAAATAAAATGGAAAGGAATATACACTAACCTGAGCTAGAAAGGCTTTCCTAGCCTTATCTTCCTCTATCAACCATCTCTCCTCAACTCAGCTTTCTCTCGAAGCTGTAGCATGAGATGTATACTGATATTAACTTCCTACTAACACAAAATATAGGAATGGCAAATTAAGCATGAAACACTATGCTTTTTCTATAGGAATGCAAATTAAGCATTGGAATGTAGTGTCATGCTTTTTCTTTCATTTTCACTATGCTTGTCCAAGTGTCATATGACCTTAGTTTAAGCATGAAACACTTCATCTCCAACACTTAACCACATCCTAGAAACATACTACTAACAATTAAAACAATAGAAGTCAATGGCATGCTGAATTCATTCAATGTTTATGAAATGCAGAATTTCAGCATATGAGCAGCTTGCATTCCGTTGGCTATATCTTACTTTCCTCATATTAATTTGCCCTGAAATTTTTACAGCATGTTCCCAACATCTTAGGGTACTTCCTTGTAAAATTTCATAATTTTTAAAGCTCATTTGCATTGTCAAATGACATAATTATTAACATAATTATAGAATCTAAATTTCAGTTTTTCTCATGCTGAGCAGCCTACACTGATTTAATTATAACTCCATTTCCTTTTATCCAATGGCCTTTCCCTTTTAACACGACCTACCCAACATCTCAGCCTATCTCCGTATAAAATTTCATGAATTTTGAAGTTCATTAATTCATTTGCTTAGTCAAAATTAGGTCCAATTTCAGACAGCTGAATTCAGACAGACCAACTGTAACGAGTCAGCAATGATATGTTTTCTTAACTTCTCAACTCCAGTTCAGCACAAATTCCATGCAATTCAATCTCTTCTATTACTTACATACACATGCATAGATATAGAATATATCAGAATTCCTAGGTAAATGGCATTCAAAATACAAATCGAATGATCCATCTTGTGATCTAATGCAAATAAAACTTTGATTCATGTCATAATTCTGTTCAATATCTTAATCACCTTATAACTCAATTTAATCATTTCAATCTTCAGCCAAATGCAAACGAACAGAGCAAAGCACCTCACTAAATTCATGGAATTCAAGAAATTAGATCATAGATAAAGAAGGAGGGAAGTGAAGTAACTAACGTTTTCTTTAAGAATTACTTGAAAATTCTTTGATTTTCACCTCCTTTTTGCTTGTTTTTAATCAAAACTCTCCTCCTCTCTGTCTTGATCCACTTGGCTGTAAAAATGGGTGAAAATGGCGTGGTTTCTTCCACCTCTTCAATATAATAAACATTATTAAAAATTCCTTCCATGTCCTTTAAATGAAAATTGCACTATAATCCTCCCTTTTGTTTTCCCTTCATCCTTTGGCACTCTTATCTTTTTAATCACTTCACTTTAGTCCTAGTAGGTATCAACCAAGTGTATATGATATTCTAAATCCCACTTAAGAAAGGTCATATTGAAATTACCGTTTTTCGGCCTTTTCGAGTAAAATCGTGCTTTACCAAGAAGTCATTCCTCTTTAACTCATTTTTGATTTCCTTTAATCTTTCAAATTGATTTGTAATCACATTAATTACACCTCACATTACATTACATTAAACATCCTCAATTAAACATCCTCAATATATAGTGTTTCCCATGATTCTAAGTTTTCCTTTCATTCGGATAACCGAATTCATCGAAAAAGTTAGAATAGCAGGAACTACAAAGTTGAGGATATTACAAGACATGTTCCTTAGATTAAGGAAGTTAGGTGTTGACTGTAAAAGAAAGCTTTTTGTAACTGATGCATATATAAGTTGATCAATGAATATGAAATACAGCTCCTCTTTATTCAGTTTCAAGTGTGTGTGTGGTTCTCACATTCCAACAAGTGGTATCAAAGCCATCTCTGATCTTTGAGAGGCCTGTGTAGTGAGATATAGAGGAGAGAAAACCAGTCAGGTTTGCTTTTGAAAACCAGTCAGGTTCGCTTTTGAAAACCAGACACGTTTCAACCTTATTATGGCTTCAAATATTTTTTGGTACTGGTCCACCTTCAATGTTTGATCGTCAAAATTTATCAGCTTTGGGCTGTAGAAACGAAGACTTACTTGAGAGGCCTTAATCTCTGGGAAGTTGTGGAGACATGAAATGTCCTCCACCATTAAGAGCCAATCTCACTATGACTGAAATAAAGCTCCATTTAGAAGAAAGTGCTAAAAAGTATAAGTCCATATCCCTCATTCATGCTGCTGTGACAGAAACAAATTTCACAAGAATTATGATTGTCAAATTGGCAAGGAAGCGTGGGATAAGTTGAAAGATGAGTTCAACCAAGCATATGCAAGTTTTGAACTTGAGAAGAGAATATGAGCTGCTGAAAATGAAGGAAAATGAGTATATAAAAGATTATGCTAATAGACTCATGAAAACAAATAAATCAAATCGGGTTGCTTGGGGAAGATCTATTAGAGAAGAGGGTGGTTGAAAAGGTTTTAGTGAGTTTGTCAGAAAAATTTGAGTCAAAAATCTCCTCTTTGGAGGACTCAAAAGACTTATATCAGATGTCTTTGTCTAAGTTAGTGAATTCTTTACAAGCTGTAAGGCAGAGAAGGCTTACAAACTTGAGGATTCAAGTGAAAGTGCACTATTTGCTAGTCAAAAAGGCAAATTTCAGTCAAGTGGAAAAGAAAAGAAGCTTATTGGTGATAGAAAGGAAAAAGAGAAGGGAGATTATCAAAGCATTAAAGCAAAGGGCAGAAAATGGAAGAATCAGCCATGTTCACATTGCAACAAAAAGGGACATGATGAACATTATTACTCGTATAGACCTGGAGTGCAATGCAGGTCATGCAAGCAGTTTGGCCCTGTTGAAAAAGTTTGCAAGGCCAAAAATGAGCTCCTGTTGAAAAAGTTTGCAAAGGCCAAAATGACGACAATCTCAACAACTCAAGTTGTTGAAGATTAGAAATGAAGGAGGGAAAGTGGGTTTAATGGCATAAAACTAAAGGCAGCTGTGAAACAAAATCTACAAACTTGGTTGTTGATACAAGTCATCCCATCATATGACTTCAAATGTCAACATGTGGTTTCACAATTCATAGAAGAAGCTTATTCATTCCAATGGTAGAAATAGGTGATGGCAGCTATGTGTGAGAATAGGTGATGGCAGCTATGTAGAAATGAAAGGAAAAAGGAGATGTTATTGTTGAGACTTTTCAGGTACACAAATAATTTCAGATGTGTTATATGTTCCTGAAATAAGTCAAAATCTCTTTAGTGTTGGTTGATTACTTGAAAAGCAATATAATTTGCATTTTTATGATAAAAAGTGTGATGTTTTTGATAAATTTGGTGCAAAATTACTATCAATTACAATGATTGATAGACGTTTTCATGTGAATTGGAAGAAAATCAAAAAGCATGCTCTCGCTTCTATTTTAGATGAGTCTAATGTATGGCATAAAAGATTTGGCCACTTTAATTATGCTTCATTAAAGCATATGCACAGCAAAGGTTTGGTGAATGACATGCCTGTTGTGTATGAATCTACTGATGTGTGTGGAATTTGTTAAAAAGGGAAGCAAAGTAGTTTGGCATTCCCTATAAATCAAGCTTGGAGAGTATCTGAAAAACTCCAACTTATACATACTGATGTTTGTGGCCCAGTAAAGACACTCATTCCTAGTGGAAGCAAGTATTCTTATTATTTATTGATGATTATAGCAGAATGTGTTGGGTGTTCTTCTTAAAATTGAAGTGTTTTCTTGCTTTTATACATTTAAATTTATGGTGGAGAATCAAAGTAATAAGAAAATCAAGATATTAAGGTCAGATAATGGGATCAAGTTCACTTCACATGAATTTGAGAATTTTCTTCAAATGACTGTTAATCTTCATCAATTAACAGTTGCTTACACTCCACAGCAAAATGTAGTATGTGAAAGAAAGAATAGGTTAGTCATGAATATGATGAGGTGTTTGATGTTTGAAAAGTAACTTCCAAGAAAGTTCTAGGCAGAATCTGTAAATACTTTAGTGTATTTACTTAATAGGTTGCTGACTAAGGTCTTAAAAGAAAAAACCACATATGACATGTAATTATATGTGGTTTGGAGTTAAGCGTTTATCCAAGCATCTCAAGGTCTTCGGTTGTTTGTGTTATATCCAAGTTCTTGAGGTAAAAGAAAAGAAATTTGATGAGAGAGCTAGGTTGGTGTGTTTGCTGGTTAGAGCAGTCACTCAAAAGGCTATAGAGTTTCAAATTTAAAGTTAGAAAAGATTGTTGTTAGTAGAAATATCAAGTTTGCTGAGGAAGCTACTTGGGATTGGGAGAAATCTGTTTTTGTCTCTTGAAGACAAATTTGAGTTGAGAATATCACTTAAGAATCAGAAGCGAATGAAGAAATTGAAGGCCATAATTACTTAAAAGACATTGATGCTGTAGCCATTAGATGAACAAGAAGCTTGAATGACATATACAACAGATGTCACTTAGCTATAAGTGAAGTAGCCTGTTATGAAGAAGCAGAAAAATCTCAAGAATAAAGAGCAGCAATGAAGGAGAAGATAGTAATGATTTCAAAAAATAATGCTTGTCTTGTTGATAGACGAACCAACAAGAAAGTTGTAGGGGTTAAATGGATTTATAGACTGAAATTGAATGCTAATGGCTCAATTCACGGGATTCAGCCAATTGTCTTGATTGTGGGATATCATTGAGAAAATAGGAATCTGTGTTATCAATTAACTAGTACAAAGCAAGACTTGTTGTGAAAGGTTACTCTCAACAGTATGGATGGGATTTCACAGAGACATTTGCACTTGTGGTAAGATTTGACACCATCAGATTGCTTATTTCAGTTGCAGCTCAAAAACCTTTGGATGTTTGTCAACTTGATGTTAAGTCTATTTTCTTAAATTGATATTTGAAAGAAGAAATCTTTTTTGAGCAACTAGAGGGATTTGTGCAAAAAAGAGAAGAAGGAAAAGTTTATTTTTGCTAAAAAAAAGCCTTACACAACTTAAAACAGGCACATAAAGCATGGTATTGCAGAGTTGATGAGCATCTGCAGAGGTTGGTGTTCACCAAAAGCTACAATGAGGTTACTTTGTATTTAAAAGAGAAAAATGGTGACAGTTGCAGCTCAAAAACCTTTGGATGTTTGTCAACTTGATGTTAAGTCTATTTTCTTAAATTGATATTTGAAAGAAGAAATCTTTTTTGAGCAACTAGAGGGATTTGTGCAAAAAAGAGAAGAAGGAAAAGTTTATTTTTGCTAAAAAAAAGCCTTACACAACTTAAAACAGGCACATAAAGCATGGTATTGCAGAGTTGATGAGCATCTGCAGAGGTTGGTGTTCACCAAAAGCTACAATGAGGTTACTTTGTATTTAAAAGAGAAAAATGGTGAATTGGTGATTGTTTCTATTTACGTAGATGACCTTCTGATCATATGAAGCAGCTTTGCATTGGTGTATCAATTTAAAGAAGAAATGAAAAAAGTGTGTTTGAGATCACATGAATGATTTGGGAAAAATGCCTTATTTCTTGGGATCATTCAATCTACATGTGGTATATTTCTTTGCTAAAAGAAATTCTTGAATGGAGTTTGATAAAGTTTGGGATGCAAAATTGTAAAGTCAACACTCCTCTAGTTCCTAGTGAAAAATTGAGCAATTCAGATAGTGAAAGTAAGGTTGATGTAAGTATATATAAAAGTCTTATAGTTTTATTTATCTATCACTAGGCCTGATGTTATTTATACAACAAGTATGCTGTCAAGGTTCATGTAAGCTCTAAATGAGAACCATTTCAAAGCTACAAAAAGGGTCTTAAGATATTTAAAGAGACAACTGATTTTGAAATCCTATATGGAAGAACTTGCAAAGTGAAGCTTCTAGGATTCACTGAAAGTGACTGCGCAGGCTCAAATGATGACATGAAGAGCACCTCAGGTTCTTGTTTTAGCATTGGATCAGCAATGGTGAGTTAGAACTCCAAAAAACAAGATACGGTAGCTCAATCCACAAAGAAGCAGAGTATATTGCCGCTGCAACTACTTGGAATCAAGCAATATGGCTAAGGAAGATGTTGGTTGATTTGAAAATTGATCAAAATCAAGCTACTGAAATTTTTTGTGAAAATAAATTAGCTGTAGCTATGGAAAAGAACCTCGTCTTTCATGAAATGACAAAACACATCAAAATTAATAATCATTTTCCAAGGGAAGTTGAGAAAGAATGTGAAATTCAGCTCATATGTTGTAGCTCTGAAAATCAGGTAATAGATATTCTAACTAAAGGGTTGCAAAAATCTAAATTTAAAGGCTTAAGAGAGAAACTTGGAGTTTTCAGCAGCATTAATGTCAAGGAGTGAAAGAGTGTTTGCTGTGATAGTCAGATGAGCTTATATTTTGATTGGCTTTTTTCATTATCATCAAATCTGCATTTTGCTGAAAAAAATCTAGAGTTTTCTAATTAAATGATGTAACATGCTTGAAGCATTAACTTAAGGAGACATGTTCCTTAAATTAAGAAAGTTAAGTGTTGATTGTAAAAGAAAGCTTTTTGTAACTGATGTATATATAAGTTGATCAATAAATATGAAATACGATTCCTCTTTATTCATTTTCAAGCGTGTGTTGTTTTCACATTCCAACAGTTTCTAAATTTCTTTAGATGAAGTAGCTTTATTGGAAGATCCTAATCGATTTAGAAGGCTTGTTAGAAAACTTCTTTATCTTACTTTGACTACACCTGATATTAGTTATTTTGTCCAACATTTGAGTCAATTCATGGCTTCTCCAAGACAACATCATATGGTAGTAGCTTTATAAGTGGTTAGATACTTGCATGGTTCTTCTTCTCAAGACCTTTTTTCTCCTGCTTCTAATGATTTAAAAGCTCAAGCATTTTGTGTTCTTTCTAACTTGCTCAAGGTATAGACTTAGCTCATAGCTAATTGGTCGATAATCAAACCTGCTCGATTCAGCTTGGTCAATTTACTCATAAGAAAGATAAATTTTTGGTTTAAATAGTAGTTTTCTTTAATTGGGCTTGGTTTTACAAAAATAATTAGTTAGGCTCAAAACTGAATAAACGATAAAAACTAATCAGAGTGACCGAACTATCTGGTTCGATTGAAGCCGATGTGGTTTAAATATCAATTAAAACCGGATAGTTCGGCTGGACAGTTTAATTGGTTTGAAACCAGACCGGTTCTGCCTAATAATTTGAAGGCCATTCCAAAACCAAGTAGAATGGGGCCAAACAAAAAGTTTATCACCAAACCAACCCATTTGCGGTAGCCCAAATCCTAGAATCGTTAGGGACTGTTTGGTAAAGACGAATTCACTGTCAAGAAAATTAGAAAGAAGCAGAATATCCAAAAATCAATTCCATTTCTAGGGTTTTTCTTTTCCATCCTTCCACATGATATAAATATCACACGTTAACTAAACGATATCTTTCTCCCCTTTAGGTCTGCTAGTCGCCTCTATTTCTCCTACTGTCTCTCTTCTACTCTCTTCACTTCATTATCAATGGCTGTCTTTTCTGATCTCCATACTGAATCAGGCCTCAAGGCTCTCGATGCCTTTCTCGCCGGAAAATCTTATATTTCTGGGTATTTTTTTCATTTTTTTTCTTTCAATTTTTTTGATTGAGCATAAAGCTGATAGAAATTGTTAGTTGGTCTCATTGTTTTTTCAATTTCTAATCAGGGATCATCTGTCAAAGGATGATATAAAGGTATACGCTGCCGTTGTGGGGAAGCCTGGAGATGCTTTCCCCAATGCCAGCAAGTGGTATGCTTCTGTAGATTCACTTCTTGCCAAAAGGTTAGTTTTCTATATTATTTTTATTTTTTTTTTTCACTAAATTTTTTGTGGGTTTTAGTTTCTTTCAATAAAGCATATGTTTTTTCACTTTAATTTTACTTATTATGTTTTGTTTGTGTTTACTGATTTGTCTGGTTTGATTTGATTATTTACAGTTTCCCTGGAAAATCTGTTGGGGTAAGAATTGGTGGCAGAGGTGCTGATCCAGTTGAAGCTGCTGCCCCTGCTAAGGTTTGTCTGTCGGCTTTATTGATCTCACTTATGAATTATGGTGTCTTGAAGTAGGAACAAAAGAATTTCATCTTTTCTATGATTAAATACGAACTTCTGGGTTTACACAATTAATTCTGAATCTTAAGTTGTTCTAAGTCTAGCCAATCATGAATATTAAGATGCTAGTGTTTGAGCTTGGAACAGTTATGTTTTTACTAATAAGCATTTGTTTGTTGTTCCACATGCAACTTATGTGATTTATAGGTTTGGTAAGTGTTTTTGGTCTTGCAATTTATTCCCTTTGCTATTTTGATGCACCTTTTCATAGCAAGATAGATGGATTTCTTGTTTCTAATTTTGTCTCGCAATTTATTCCTCTTGCTGTTGTAGGCTGATGCATCTGCTGGAGATGACGACGATGACTTGGATCTCTTTGGTGATGAGACTGAGGAGGACAAGAAGGCAGCAGAGGAGAGGGCAGCTAAAAAGGAATCCTCCAAGAAGAAAGAGAGTAAGCTTCAGTTTTTTTTTTTTTTTTTTTTTTTTTTTGAGGAAGGACAAAGACAGGCAGCAGAGGAGAGGGCAGCTAAAAAAAGGAACCCTCCAAGAAGAAAGAGAGTAAGCTTCACAGTTTTTTTTTTTTTTTTTTTTTTGTAAGAATTAAGTTTTTTTTTTTTTTTTTTTTTTTTGTAGAATTCAAATTTACTTGGATATACTAAGTCAGTTCTTTGTAATTTTTCTGTATATGAATTTGACTTTGATTGATAGAACAGAAGAACTGGGAGGTCTCAATTCAGTGAACTAGTCAGCTTTTGTAAAATTCATCCCTCTCGACTAAACTAAATTTTTATGCTTTCGTGCTATTGCAATAAATTAGTGAATATTCTGTCATTTTTTGATTTTTATATGTTGGAAAATTTTCTTTTCTCTTGGATTTGAATACATATTTAGTGCTCGCATAGATTAAGTTGGATGTTTGAAATTTATTCTTCTAGGAAATTAGGACTTTGATTTTTATTGATATAATGGGAATTCTGAATTCAATAGCAAAAAATAACTTCTGCATGTGGTATAGGACTGAATTATTGAATATTCTGTCATTTTGACCTTTGATCAATCTGTTGGAAAATCTTCTGTTCTTTTGGATTTGAATGCATATTTAGTGCTAGCATATATAGCCTATGAAAATTGAAGTCCTTTTCTAAATGTTTCTTTGTGCTTGTGGTTGAATATTTGGTTGACCTTTTGATCAATCTCTAGGTGGAAAATCTTCTGTTCTTCTGGATGTGAAGCCTTGGGATGATGAGACAGATATGAAGAAGTTAGAGGAGGCAGTTCGAAGTATAGAGATGCCTGGTCTACTGTGGGGAGCATGTACGCTTTGGATCATTATAATTTATTAATACACTGTTACTTCCAGTAAATTTCTGTTTGTTTTATTAGTATCCGATGTTAATGCTTCATTGTTTGTATGTCACAGCAAAACTTGTTCCAGTTGGTTATGGCATCAAGAAATTGCAGATCATGCTCACCATTGTTGATGACCTTGTTTCCGTTGATTCTCTCATAGAGGAACATCTGACAGTTGAGCCTTGCAACGAATATATTCAGAGCTGTGACATTGTTGCCTTCAACAAAATATAAGCAAAATACTTATATGCTACTGATTCTAGTGTTAGCCATTTTGGCAACTTAGTATTTTTGGTCTGTGATTTCTTTCTTTCTTTTTTAGGTGTTAGCCCATTTTGGCAACTTAGTAATTTTTGGTCTGTGATTTCTTCTTTCTTTTTTTTTTTTTTCCCCAACATTTTTTCCAATGCCTTCAACAAAATATAAGCAAAATACTTATATGCTACTGATTCTAGTGTTAGCCATTTTGGCAACTTAGTATTTTTGGTCTGTGATTTCTTTCTTTCTTTTTTTTTTTTCCCAACATTTTTCCATCTTCTGTTTCTGTTCTCTAGATTGGTGAGAATTGAAAAAATGAACAATTAAAAACCCGTTCTGTTGGTTACCTCCTCAAAGTTCACAAGTCCTTCCCTGTGGATCAGACTTTCACCTTTGGAAGCTGCTTTGCTTTCGCCTGTAGAGCTGGTTTTAACTGAAGTAACTGTTTTCCAAATAAATATGGAAACTGTCACTAGTTGGCAAATTTTGAGAGGTGAAAGCAAAAAGGCGGATGTGTATTGTCAAGGGCCCTATTGCCCACGTTAAATCATATCCATCGTATCAAATCATTTTGCATTGAATAAAAATTTAACTTTTAGCGTTTTTAAATATTATTTTTTATAATATTTATAGTATTTGAATTGATTTTTAAACTCTAATAATTAATTTTGTCAAATAAATTTATTTTGCTGAATAAACATGCAATTTCTCTTTTCAATAAATAGTTAATTTTACGCAATTAAGTTGTATCTATTTCAACAAAGTTCAATAAATGAAGGGAATGACATGGATCCACGTGTCCAAATTTGTCCATCTCTTTATGAAACATCTTATTGCAAATTTTAAAAACTTAAAATACTCGATTATTCAAAAACTAAAATTCGAAAAGCATAGGAAGTTCATACAACAAATCTAACATTATCTCCGCAAAAGGAAATAAGAAGACAATATGGATCACTTGATAAAACTTTCACTTTGAGGTTCACCAACTGTTATTGTATATCCGAAAGTGTGGCATAAATCTACCCTTATCTTTCTATTTATATTTTAAAAAAAAGAGATTTTAAATTTTAATTGATCAAACTAGTACGTGTCGTTGGCTTGGGCCCGTTTGTTATAGTTATTTATTTTTCGTTTTTTATTTATTAGAAACATGAAGTACTCTTTAGTTTTTGATTACTATTTTTAAAAAATTTTTTTTTTCTAAATTATATTTTTTATTGTTTTTACCAAAGGCAAAATGCATATATTTAACCCTGAAGTTTACACGGTTTATCTTGTGATACTCTCAAGTATGCAGGAAGCCTTATACTTTCATATTTCAGTAATAATTATGCCCCTCGCCAAAAATAAAATGTACAAATATAGGATAATGATTGAACTTTTATAAAATATATGATCATAATTGAACTTTTATGAAATTATTTTATTTGGTGAGAGATATAATTATTATTAAAATATAAAAATATAAAGTCATGATAGTTCCTCGCAAATTTAAAATTGCCATAAAGCAAATAGCATAAACTTCAAGGGTAAGTTTATACATTACGCGTTTACCAACCAAATAGTTTATACGGTCTTTCTTTCTCATCCACCATTCACGTGTCTAGTAATTATAGTTCTTTTTATTATAATTTTACCTACAATTATTCGTAATCCAAATAAAAAAATATATGGAGGCTGATGTTGAAGCAAAAATGAAAAGATTTATCACATGATGTGCTAGTGGTCGGTTTGATCAAAATCAAATTAACTCGGTTGAAATTGAACAAAATCAAATTTTATACAATATTAATTGAACCAACCAATTTTTCCTAAAAACTTAAGCCAATATATACTCATTTATTTTAGTTTTTTTTTTTGTCATTTAGTAAAAAATATTTCAAATCTAAACTAAAAATTTTATATAAAAAATAAATACAACCAGTATAAACAACAATGTAAAATGCGTAAAAAAGATAAAAAATGAAGATGCAAAATATCAATCCCTATACCTTTCGCATGCTAAATGAACACTCTATCATCTAAGCTACATCTACTATATATTTTAATCTTTTTCATCTTTTTTATCTAATCCAAACAATGTTAGATATTTTTAAAATTTCCCTTAGTAAATTCGAGTATAAACAACTTGAAATACATAATAAATAAAAATGGAGATACAGATATCAATCTCCGTACATCTCACATGACAAGTAAGCGTTTTACCATTTGAGATACATTCTGTACATATCTTAATCTTTTTAATATTTTTTATTTAATCCAAACAATTTAGATATTTTTAAAAACTTTTCTAAATTAAATACGAGTATAAACAACGTAAAATGCGTAAAAAATAAAAATAAAAATAAAAATAAATAAAAATGTAGATGCTAGATATCAATCTTTGTACCTCTCATATGCTTAATAAGCACCTTACCATCTAAACTACATCCCACACATATTTTTATTTTTTCATATTTTATATTTAATCCAAACAAGCCAAATATTTTTAAAAATTTTTCCTAATAAGTATGAGTATAAACAACATGCAATACATAAAAAATAAAAATAAATAAAAATGAAGATAGAGGTATCGATCCATATACTTCTCGCATGCTAAATGAACGTTCTACTATCTAAGCTACGTCTCCTATAAATTTTAAATTTTTTCATATTTTTTATCTCATCCAAACAAGTTTTCATACTTTTAAAAACCTTCCCTATTAAATATGAGTATAAACAACGTTAAATACATAAAAAATAAAAATAAATAAAAATGGAGATGTGGGGTATCAATCCCCATGCTAAACAAGCGCTCTACCATAGATATTTTAAAAACCTCCCCCCGTTAAATGAAAAAAATAAAAATAAATAAAAATGGAGATGTGGGGTATCAATCCCCATGCTAAACAAGCGCTCTACCATAGATATTTTAAAAACCTCCCCCCGTTAAATGAGTATAAACAACGTGAAATACATAAAAAATAAAAATAAATAAAAATGGAGATGCGGGGTATCGATCCCCGTACCTCTCGCATGCTAAGCGAGCGCTCTACCATCTGAGCTATATCCCCTTTATATTTAAAATTTTTTTATATATTTTATCCCACTTAATCATATTTTTATATTTTTAAAAACTTTCCCTATTAAATAGGGAGTATAAACAACGTGAAATACTTAAAGGTGGCCATATTACGGTTTTGGGAACTGGAATCGTCGGTTTGAACCAGTCCCAAACCGTAATCGGAACCGGGCCGAACCGAAATTAGAACCGGAGATTTTCGGTTCGGTTCCGGTTCCGGTTCCGGTTCCAGATTTCTGGAACCGAAACCGGCGGTTCTAGAAAACCGATCGGAACCGGATTGGAACCGCCGGTTCCCCATCCGGTTAGAACCGCCGGTTCCCCATCCGATTAGAACCGGCGGTTCGAACCGGCGGTTCTAGAACCGCGTCGAACCGGCGGTTCTAGCATTATAAACTGTAAAGATGTGGTTTTTTATTTAAATTTATTGTGAAATCTTCGTAATTAACCCTCCCAACAGCAATAAACCGGTTACATAAGCTAGTTTCAAGGTAATTTTTTGAAAAACAATACTTTTTTGATTTATTAATAAATACTCATTTCAATTTAACAAATTCAATCACAAAAAAAAATCTTACTCTTCCTGTACAATATACTACACTCTACTTATATTATTTTTTTCTACTCTTACAATCTCTTTATAAGTTATTGATTCTCTCTAATTTTTTTTTAATTCAATTTTCAAATTATATCTATATATATAAATGGCAAGTGGCAGGAAACTCAAATTTGGGTAAGGGCAAGAGGGAAAAGATTTGGAGAAAACAATATTCGCTCTAATCCCGTACAAAACGACATGTGATGATTTCACTCCCTCAAACATAGTAAGTTTGAGGGGGGATTATCCAAATGAAATATTTGGGCAATTGCCAAACTTAAAAAATCTGAATTTACAATGAGCAAGATGTTGTACAAGAAGTGAACGAGCACTGAATATTGTTGGAAGAGCAATACAAAAAGTTCCGAAACATATTCGCCAATTCATATTCACGAAAAAATTCAAAGGTGAGAAATGTACATGTAATTTTGCAATTATTGTGCAAATCTGTATAAATTTAAAACAAGCCGGGCGGCTTATGGATCATTTTTGGAAGCATTTTGGAAGACAAGACATCCAACCAAAATAGGAGTTGAATCGGTCTCAAACACGAAATTTCCGAGTACCGCATGCTTCCTAACTTTCTCTTATTTCAATATTCTGAAAAAATACAAAAAGAATGAATTAGCAAAATGAATTTCTATGGAACATTTAGCTTTTAGTTTTTGGTGAAAAGTAGGTTTAATAAATATTGTTTAAAAAAAACTTAATCCTTTCTGCTAAAAGAGTGCCAAGAAATACTGTAAAACGAACTATTATTTCTTTATATAATAAATGAAAAAAAGAGTTTAGAGCTTTTTAATTTTCACTCAATGAAAATCGTGTTTCAATTTTGTTGTGATATTTGAAGTGATCATTGCAAATGCATTTTTTATGTGTATTACATGTCCATTAGATTGATTGATGATTGGAAAATTGCAAAAAAAAATTATTGTGCAATTGTCGTTTTTTGATGATAAGCACTATACTGCAAATAATATTTTAAAATAATTGATTTCAATTTTAGATGAATTATAAGTTGAACAAAAAAATTTTTTTCAATCTTCATTTGATAATGCTTCTGCTAATACTAATCAATAATTGAACTTAAAAATATTTGTGAACCAAAAATTGGTGGAAATTTTTTTCATATAAGATGGTGCAATGCCAATGTTTAAATTTATGTGTACAAATGGTTTTTAAAAATTCCTTGAATATTTTATTTTCTCCAATTAAAAAAGCCTATTTCATATTTATTGGGGACATCCCAAGTGATGAAAAGTTGGGACTAAATTTTGTAAGAAAATACATAAAAGACCAAAACGTTTTCCAAGGGATTATCAACTCGTTGGATTCAACATAAGTGAATTACTAAACGAGTCTTTTTCTTATAAGAATTATTATGCTTTTTTGTT